GGCATGACAGGGACCAATGGGATGCCTTTTCCAATTTAGGCACCCACTGTCCCTTTAAGAGCGCGCCCGAGACTCGCGGCGCGCTCTTAGATTCAGGCGGGACACGTGACCGCCTCACGCGGTCACTGCCCGCCGTCCATCCGAGGTAGCTGGATGAGCCGCGCGCGGCTCGTGCAGCCGCAGGACCGCGCGCGGCTTGAAGAGAGGACCGCGACCGGCCCCCGGTTAAGGTAAGTAACGCTACAGTCAGTTGACTATCCATCAAAAGTTGTGGTACTTAGTTGGGATTCGTCCATGATCTGATGAACATCTGTTGGGTTGGCCAGTTACCAGCGATCGTTAGTTAGGAGTGGTCTAGTTGAGAGCATTTTAACCATTAGGTGGTTGGGTTTTGTTTATGTTACTTTGTATATATGTCACCCATGTCTTCTGGGATTTATATTATAAGCCTTCAAGCCATATTGGTTTCTGAGCAGTTTAATATGTCCAATCAAGAGATATCTAGTCTGCAGATTCTGTAAAGTCAGGGGATGAGATTGTTTCCAAAGGTAGGCTATGAGGGTGTTGGCTGATATTAGTACGTGGTATAGAAGTGCCAGTGTGAACCTGGTTAGGTTGGTAGGTAGCATGAAAAGAAGGCAGTGTATATTTGTATTCTAAATGCTTTTCACCTCATTTTTAAGGACAAGGCTAGTCCTTGTCCAAAAATAAAGAATTGTGTGTTAGTTCCATTAGAAACTGTGTGTCCTGACTGGTATGTTCAGGGATCTCAGTGACAGCTGGCTTCGCTGGTCCCTAATTCCCAGGACAAGCTGAAGGGACACTCTAGTCACCAAAACCCCTTTAGTGTAATGAAGCAGTTTTGGTGTATAGATCATGCCCCTGCAGTTTCACTGCTCAGTTCTCTGCCATTTAGGATTTAAATCACTTTGTTTATCCATCCCTAGTCACACCTTACTGCATCTGACTTACAAAGTCTTCCTAAACACTTCCTGTAAAGAGTCATCAAATGTTTACACTTCCTGTATAGCAAATTCTGTTTAATTTAGAATTTCAGATCTCCTGTGCTGTTAATAGTTTGCTAGACCCTGCAGGAACCTCCTGTATGTAATTAAAGTTAAATTTACAGAGCAGGAGGCAAAAACATTTAAAGTCAATTAACATCTGATTGAATTTGAAACCATTTTGTTTTCATGCGGGCTGTGTCAGTCACAGCCATCAAAGTGCAGCTGGGGCTGCAGAAATAGAAACAAAAGTGATTAACTCCTAAATGGCAGAGAACTGAGCAGTGACATTTTTAGAGGCAAAAACTGCTTCATTGAGCAAAAGTTGTTTTGGTGACTATTATGCCCCTCTAAGAAAGAGCGAGGCTAGAGAGCCACAAGTGCCTTTGTAAAGGCAGCATCTGGAGACAATATAGGTAGAGGTGATGATACTTGAAAACAAACAAAAAAGCACAGACACCCAAACTGGGTGAATGTGTGTGTGTCCACAAGATATCCAAATATGGGGTAACCCTAGCTAAACATAGAGTAAACAGAGAGTGATCAAGGGTTCACAAGGAAAGTCCCAAGATCATGGTAAGGATATCTCCAAGTCTTAGTTCCATTTAATCTAAAAACATACTTTATTGGTTGCAAATATACACAAAACAAAAAATAATGATGAACAGACAAATACTAATCACTCAAAAGAAAAAAATGTGTGTATCCTAGAGGGGAGCTGTAAAAGCTCAAAATTGCCTTGTCTGAATATGAGTATAGAACAGTACAGCGTAAGGGAACCTTAGAATAGGGTAAAATTGCCTGTAGCAAGTCCTAACTGGATGAGGGATACAAAATCCACAAATAAACAGTTACAAATTAACCCCTAGAAATTATAAAGCTAACTGTTGCTACAAAATAACTGCAGAGTGTGGAGTTGAGGAGTATGCCTCTAATACTGTCCAGTTGTTACTATCTAACTGGGACAACTCTCCCTGTAAGCTAGACTGATTTTCCTCTCTAGTCGGTCCTCTCACACCTCACCCCTCTGCCGGTCCTTACATTGGCTCCCTGTATGCTATAGGAGTCAATTCAAAGTGCTAACCCATACATTTAAAGCACTGAACAGTTCTAGCCCCGCTTATATCTCTTCACTGATCCATAAATATGCCCCTCCACGTACCCTCCGCTCTGCCCGTGACCACCTCCTGACCGCTGCTCGCACCCGTACGGCCAACTCGCGCTTGCAGGACCTCTCGCGGGCGGCTCCTCTCCTATGGAATAGCTTGCCTACTGCCATCAGACTCTCCCCTAGTCTTCAATCATTTAAGAAGGGCCTTAAAACCCATCTCTTCAGGAAAGCTTATGGCCTCCCAGAGTAATCTCTACCTTACATACCTGTCTCCTGCTCTCTCCTATGGGACAGTGCTTTGCTCTCTCCTCCAGCTCTGCTTCACTCCTACTTGATATTTATTGTCCTAATGTTTCAAATACCCCACCTCCAATAGTCTGTAAGCTCGTTTGAGCAGGGTCCTCTTCAACCTATTGTTCCTGTAAGTTTTCTTGTAATTGTCCTATTTATTGTTACACCCCCCCCTCTCAAAATATTGTAAAGCGCTACGGAATCCGTTGGCGCTATATAAATGGCAATAATAATAATAATAATAATCTGTCTCCTTGGTCACTGGTGGTCTATAAGTAATTACTGCAAACTTAGTCGCCCCAATAATAAACAAAATATAGAGTGAGCTGTTATGCTCACTTACTAAAATTAATAGACCACTAGAAAGCTATACTAAATTAGAATTGGAGAGATAAGTTGGGATAAATACCCTGCTCTTATTGTAAAGGAAGGATAGCTCAGCTATGCAATCTCCATCCTTCTCAACCACTCACAGTCCTAAAATGAATAGTGCATACTAGGCTCAGAGGTAGACATGACTGTAATGCTTGCTCTAAATGCTTGAAGAGCTACCTCATCTAAAAGCTCTACTATTATTGATCGCCATAAGCTCCTAATTAAAGCTGACAAGTAAACCCCCAAAAAGAAAAATACGTGCTCAACTCAAAAGTGAAGTGTCAAAAATAAAGTGAGAGAAACCATAACGCCTAACGCGTTTCGGCACTACTAAAGCGTCTTTTGCTACAGGCAATTTTACCCTATTCTAAGGTTCCCTTACGCTGTACTGTTCTATACTCATATTCAGACAAGGCAATTTTGAGCATTTACAGCTCCACTCTAGGATACACACGTTTTTTCTTTTGAGTGATTAGTATTTGTCTGTTCATCATTGTTTTTTGTTTTGTGTATATTTGCAACCAATAAAGTATGTTTTTAGATTAAATGGGACTAAGACTTGGAGATATCCTTACCATGATCTTGGGACGTTCCTTGTGAACCCTTGATCACTTTCTGTTTACTTTAGAGGTGGTGATACTTGCCTGGGAGAGGAACAGAAGAGGCAAACACAGAGGGGAGGACACCTGCCTGGAAGAGAGAGTTGGATACTGGTCCAGTGGATGAAATCAAAGGATCTCCAATGACGGCCCATGCAGTGCAGCACCGGCCCCTCGTGGACTGCAGTAAAGTTACCGGGTGGGGTGGAATGCACCAAGAAGTTACAGGCAGCAAGCATGACACCCTCCTTTTTTTTAAATTAAATTAGTAAATAAATTTTTTTAAGCCATGCTTATTTAACCCCTTAAGGCCTTTTTACTAAAAAAGACTTGACATACCCCATTTGCAATACCTTGGGTTGTCTACTTTTGCAAATGGGCTTATATCTAATGGCCATTTGAGTTACTAAATAATCTCCATTTATATAAATATGCACAGGGATTTGGAGTAGTGCACACTGATGTGTACTATGGTCATTGCTGCCACACAGTATTGGAAGTCTGAGCGCAGGACTTATGTTTGTGTATTTACACACACTATACCACCTTTTATTTAAGCCATTATATACACACACAACAAGCCTGTACTTACAAACACACACACTAAATACCATCTATATGTGCACTACATCTACTGCACTTACACACAAGCACACACACACTATACCCCTTATATACACACATTACACCCCCTGCATTTACAAACACACTATACCCCCTACGTACACACTACGCCCCCTGCACTTACTTTCTCTATAACCCTATATACACACCTCCTGCAGTAACAGACAAACATACTACCACAGTTTATACCAATATATACACACAACAAACCCATATATACACATACTCTAACACTACACAAACTTTATACAGTCTATAAACACACACTACATCCAATGAACACACACTCTATACACCTATATACACAATACACCCAAAGCACTTACACATAACATACTACACACACTCTATACCCCCCATAAAACACACTACACTCCTCTAGGCATAAACACACAATGCAGCCCCTATATGCACACAACACCTTTTAGGCCCACACACTCTACAACTCATACACAGCCCAGAAACACACACAAACTACAGCCCCTACACACACAGTACACCACAAACAGATTCCTTTATACAGTACACAACAGTCTCTCCTCTACACACATGTAATCCCACAAACAACTTCCAAACACACACAACACTACAGGGAGCATCCTCACACATGCACAACACACCTTAATATTAAAATATATCAAAACATATCATATATAAATAAAATATATATCAATATAAAAAAAAATCTAAATATGAAGAAAAATTGTTTTTTATAAAATTTTATTATTTTAAATGTTTATCTGAAAATAGTAAATAATTTGACAAGTCTAATAATAATAATTGTAAGACAGTCTTCAGAAGAGAAGAGATGAGAGAGAGAGAGAGAGAGAGAGAGAGAGGAAAGAGGGGAAAGCAGACACTCTTTTCCCATTTCGCATTCTCGAACTCTATGGTATCCACTTCCGGTCTGCAGTCCTAAAGCGAGGCGTGACCCGGGGGCCTTTCAGGGCTGTTCTGGAAAGTGCCTTAATTTTACAAATTTCTCGAATTCCCATTCCAGCCGCTCCCTGTGCCCACCCGGCTGCTGCTGAGTTAGTGGCACGGAGCTGAGCTCTCGCTATCCACACGGTGTCTGTAGTGCAGGCAGTTAGCTGGCCGCCTTAGCGCGGGGTCCTCACACACAGCGGACGGCGCTTTCAAGATGTCGACCAAGAATTTTCGTGTCAGTGATGGTGACTGGATCTGCCCGGATAAGAAGTAAGGATCTGGCTCCCCGAGAGCGTCCATATCCCTGGCAGTAGGGTATCTACCCCCGGGCTGCCGAAAGCGCCCTCTATAGGGGTATTAACCAGGAGCCCGGGCTGGGGCCTGCTGCCTGCGTGTGTATCCTGAGGCCTGGGCTGGGCTGGGGTAGGTAGGCCGGGGGCAATTCATAGCGGTTATAGAGGGAACCAGGGCTGGGGTAGGTAGGCCGGGGGCAATTCATAGCGGTTATAGAGGGAACCAGGCCTGGGGTAGGTAGGCTGGGGGCAATTCATAACGGTTATAGAGGGAACCAGGGCTGGGGTAGGTAGGCTGGGGGCAATTCATAGCGGTTATAGAGGGAACCAGGGCTGGGGTAGGAAGACTGGGGGCAATTCAGGGGAGGTTATAGAGGGAACCAGGGCTGGGGTAGGAAGACTGGGGGCAATTCAGGGGAGGTTATAGAGGGAACCAGGGCTGGGGTAGGTAGGCTGGGGGCAATTCATAGCGGTTATAGGGAACCAGGGCTGGGGTAGGAAGACTGGGGGCAAATCAGGGGAGGTTATAGAGGGAACCAGGGCTGGAGGAGGTAGGCCGGGGCAATTCAGGGGAGGTTATAGAAGGAACCAGGGCTGGAGTAGGAAGACTAGGGGCAATTCATAGGGGTTATAGAGGGAACCAGGGCTGGGGTAGGAAGACTGGGGGCAAATCAGGGGAGGTTATAGAGGGAACCAGGGCTGGGGTAGGAAGACTGGGGGCAAATCAGGGGAGGTTATAGAGGGAACCAGGGCTGGGGTAGGAAGACTGGGGGCAAATCAGGGGAGGTTATAGAGGGAACCAGGGCTGGGGTAGGAAGACGGGGGGCAATCAGGGGAGGTTATAGGAACCAGGGCTGGGGTAGGAAGACTGGGGGCAAATCAGGGGAGGTTATAGAGGGAACCAGGGCTGGGGTAGGAAGACCGGGGGCAATTCATAGGGGTTAAAGAGGTTACTGAACAGGGCTGAAGTACGAAGACTAGGTGGGGATTGGGGGGGACTGAACCAGGGCTGAAGTCACAGTGCTTGGTATAGGTGGGTGTGGCAGGTTGGTACACGTGTGTAATACATCTAGTTACTGAAGGTATGTGTCACTGAAAGACAAGGTGGGTAAGTGAGGTTTGAGCGTTGCCACTGTAAGTCATGGCCCAGAGGTAGGTCACAGCCTATACTGTACCACAAATTACATACTGTTTTGGCAGCCTGGCTGGCAAAACATTATTACATTTTAAGGGTTTTGTTTACTGTTTTTCACCATATGGGGTAGTTTTATTTTTAATAGGTAAAAGGATGGGGCAAGGAACAGGCCATAGTGCCCCTTTTACCATCTCAGTCTTATAAATGTTATGCTTAAATGTATATTTTCCTAATGTCACTTGGTCGGAAACAAAACAAAGTATAATTCAGTAGCAAGAGAAACATTTTTGCTATTGCATTTACACAAAGTAATATTGTAGCACTCTTACAATTTATCAATGTAGTCCTTGTATACTGGTTGTATCAAGGATTACAAAGCGTGGTAAGAGGGGCTACAGCTCTCTATTTTGTATTATACCTTTCCAGATGGGTGGATGAAGGGTACAACTCTCCAACTAGTATTGGGCTATGGCTAGGTTTTGGAAGGTTTTATAGTGGTTAAAGTCTCATTGTTCTTAAGTTTTTACTAGGAGCATGCAGTGCAGCAAAAGTCCTCAACTATGGCTGCATATTTCCTGTCCATATTATACTTCATTGAACCACGTGTAATATGTAACTGTGACAAAAACTCACTCTGGTAGTTTGAGCTCCAGGTCAAATTGTGTTTTTCAATAATTAGATCCAATTTCCTCTTTTAGCAGGGAGTATGAAGGCTGGAGATCCTTGTAATCTGCCTCCCCTAAGTTGTCCTCCCAGTACCCATCTGCTCTACATCTTTGTCTCCTCCTCAGGCCTTGAATCTAGTTAGGAAAATTTTGTCTTGGCTGCTAGTGATAGACTGAGGCTCCATCCAGTCTTTATCTCCCCCAAGGAGGCTTAGCTAAGCTCTGATGTTCAGGGCCAGCTCATTGGCTGAGAGCGTCAGCTGAATGGTCTGAATACTTTCTGGCAACATAATCACTAGAGTGGGCTGCTTGGAGTGTTTCTTTAAGTCCTTAAAATGGAACAATTGCAAAATGTTATTAGGTGTATTTACCTCTGTAAATTTGTTTTATTTTTTTTACAGGAATTAAACACGCCATTAAAAATGTATATGCACTTTAGTTAATATACCCAACAGAAAATACGCATGTCATTTGTTTTGCATGTTTTTGTTTGAGGCTGTATAACATATTGGCTTGCAATAGCTGCAGAATGTTTTACTTATTCCCCACCACAGGTTGGTGCCTGTTCAATCTTTATTACAGCTCATTGAAAATGCTTTGCAAATCAAGTTCTCTGTACAATTTCTTGCTTATTCAGTTATGCGCCACTGAGCTAAACTACCTGTAAGCAGCAGGACTAGCTATCTAATTGAGGTGTAACAAGGTTCATTTTTAAAAGTGCTGATTTCTATTTAAATTGGTGTTTGTTTTTTTGTTTTTTTTTTTGTTTGTTTTTAACATGGGTGGGAAGAGGGCATACTCTTCACACTTAAAGCTCTTTGGCTTAATGAAGTTTGTGTGCAAAAAAAAAGTTAATCAAAAGAGCACTCCAAAACAATACATTTTATGAAAGATGTCCTTGTTTATTTTGTAGGTGTGGGAACGTTAACTTTGCCAGAAGGACTAGCTGTAACAGATGTGGACGCGGTGAGTTTAAAAAAAAAAAAAAAATTATATTCTTGTTAGGTATATAGATGCATAATTGATGTCTCGACAGTTGGTATTTCTCACATGCCGCAATGGAGGTGTAATTTAGAGGTTTTGGTATATGTTGCTTTGCGTTTAATGTAGATGTTCATGTCTTCACCATTGTTTACTGCAGTGGAAAGCACTGTGCTGGTGGTATGTCCAACTTCTAATAAAGGCTAGGCACATGCACTCATTTTCTCTTGCTATACTACACCATGGTTTTCTTTTAGATGGTAATCTTTATTTTTAAGTATTAGAGAAGTCTATCACTGTTACTGTTTTGGTAAGTCACCAGGTTTTTGGAAATGGTAGGCCAAAATATCTGAGTTTGGAAAAATTCTTAAATTTAGGTATTTTTTTTTTTTTATATAACTAGTATTTTGATCCAAAATTTATATTTTCTCCTCAATTCTAGACAGTACATGTTTTATCGAATAACCCTTTGGATTCATATAATTGTTTTTGGCTTAATGTATATATTTACCAAATCTAAGAAAGTTACAAAACAAGAGTTGCTTCATAAACTGAGATTAGTAAACAGTGAATTGCTGCTCTATGTGATGTTCAGTGGCATCTTTTAAAGCATCGTCACCACCACTCTCAACACTGCTTAGTTCAGTGAAACGAACCATATACTCCTGCTAGGAAACTCTGGATACAGGGCTGTGGTAAGTTTGTCAAGCATTTCTAAAACTAGAACTGTAGCTATTATAACTGACTGCATTTATAGCAGCACCATTGCACTCAATACAGCAAATTCCATTTCTGCCACACTGGATGGCTGTCTGAGCAGTGTTTGTAGCTGTATACATACTTAAAGGGACACTATAGTCACCCAGACCACTTCAGCTCAATGAAGTGATCTGGGTGCCAGGTCCCTCAGGTTTTAACCCTTCAGATGTAAACTTAAACTGCTATGTTTACATTTGTGGTTAATCCAGCCTCTAGTGGCTGTCTTCTGGAATTATGCATCCATCGCACAGAGCGTCCATAGGAAAGCATTGAGAAATGCTTTCCTATGGAAACTCAAAATGCGCGCGGCATTTGCCGCACATGCACATTCGACTCCGCTGATGGCGGGGGAGGAGAGGCCACCAGAGCCCACGCGCTGGATTAAAGTAGCTGAAGGGGATTTAACCCCTTCAGTGCCACGTGAGGGGGACCCTGATGGTGGGGGCACCCTCAGGGCACTATAGTGTCAGGAAAACCGCTTTGTTTTCCTGACACTATATTGATCCTTTAAATTGACATCCATACTGCTGAAGGGGCATGGGTCTACCTGGGTCAAGAAGATATGAACACAGTCTTCTCCTAACTGTGATTGGTTATGCTAATTTTATTTTTTTGTTTTTTCTTCATTGTATACACAGAAAAAACAACTGATGCTAAAATGATGAAAGCTGGTGGTACCGAAATAGGAAAAACTCTTGCAGAGAAGAGTCGTGGCTTGTTTAGTGCTAATGACTGGCAATGCAAAACGTAAGTAATTTAAATCATTCTAAAACAATGTGACTAGTTTGAATAGGAAGAGCACTAGGGCATTCCTAGCTAGAGCGTGCTCTAGTGATTATGGTGCTTGGAGTGTTCTTTAAACAGGGAAACAAGAAATGTGGTTCAAACTAAAACATAACCTTTAAATTTAAGAAGGGCATAGGTACCTTAAGTGGGGAAAAAAATGATTACTTTAAAACTCGACAATAAGAAAAAAAGTCCACAATTAACTAGTGACCTCTAGTAAGATGTTAATATTGCATATGCAATGAGTTAGATGATAGTTAATCTGATCTCCAAAAAGGTAGCCCTATGAATACCAAGAGAGAGGTGTAATACTTCTAACAGATTATGGAAGGTTAGATAAACACAAGCCTGAACTTTGAAAAGGTATAACCAAGATGTGAAATTACCCAACCTTGAAAGGGTGGTTACAAAAAGAATATGGATAAAAGGTAAAGATGACCCAAAATACTGGAGGTGGTTACACATGATTAGTTGAAATGTTACCAGCAGGACCCCAACCCTAAAAAGGGTGGTTAAAGCATTAGACTCCACCTATATAAAGGTGGTTACAGATTGATTTCTCACATAGATAAAGCTTACTGTACAGTACATTTAAAAAAAAAAAATCCAGAGTTTGAAGGAAAAACGTTTGCCTATATTGACTGTAATACTATTTGTTCACTAATTATTGACTAGAGCAGGGGTACCTTTGACATAGTATACCAACATCGTGGAACCCCAAAAAACATTTTGCGCCATAGCACAAACATTTTAATTAGCAGTGTGATAGGTGTGTTTTTTTTTTTTTTTTGTAAATTTTGCTTTTTGGTATACATACATTCATTTCTACAGATGGTAAATTAGGAGCGGGTGTTTGTATATAATAGCATTTTAAAGCAGGGGTTTGTATGTTATGTTTGCATTTGAGTGCAGTTGTATGTTTGGCTGTAGTGTTTTTTAAATGTGGATGTACATTTGTGTTCAGTATTGGTGTTTGTATAAAATTCTGAGTGTTTGTTTTTTTTTTTTTTTAAATTCAGGGCTGTTTTTAATGTAATGTTTGGGTTTGCGTGTTGGTGTTTGGTGGGATTTAGGCACATACACTACCACATACATACTTACAGATATACATACACATTAACACACAGCTACACACATATAAACACCTTGAGACACGCACTGACACATACACACAATGGCTAAAACATACCCATACATGTTAAAGTGTTTTTATTGGCAGCAACTGTCCTGTTCGCTTACCTTGTGTCCAGGAGGATGGCTTGTTTGGGGCTCTGCTCCTGGCTGAGGCTGATGGGCGTGAACATGCAGCAGCTCACTCCAGCCTCTCCTCCTTCATCACTCCATTCCTCTCGTTTTGTGAAGCTAGGAGGAATGACAAGCTGTCACTCACAGTTGGCCGATGCTGCAGGGGCCCAATCATGTTCTTAAAGAGCAGAAGCACCTGAACCGGTCCCTATTTAGCAGTAATACCAATCCAGTGGCCCAAAGTGCACGGGTCATCCGATGGGCAAATTGCGTCGGAAGCTTGGTTTTGTTCTCGTGGAACCCCAATTGGGAAACACTGGTATTGGTAAACCCATTAAGGATTTCAATACAAAGTATTTGGACTTGAAAGTTGCTTCATCTGGTGTCAGTAATTGAAATATCAGTTGACATTTGCTATTTCATGAAATGCCTGTAATGACATTAGGCTTCCACTAGATGTCACTAATCATTAAACTAGAAATGCTAATATTTATCTCTAAGGTAGGATAAGAGTTGGATACTAGTTCCTGAACACTTGTCAGCCAATCAATGTTCCTACCACTAAAAAAACAAAGTGAGTAAAGAAATTTGAAGAAACTGTCGCCAAGTCAAGCGTGAATGAAGGGTTCCCTTTTGTAACCACCCTTGCAGGGTTCGGTAATTTCATTTTAGTATTCATGGTACTACCTCTTTGGAGACTTGATTACCTGTTATCTAACAACTCTATGCATATGCAATATTAACATCTTTCTAGAGGTCATTAGTTACTTGTGACCCTTTTACTTGATTAGTGAGTGTTTAAATTTTTGTCACTAAGAGTATGCTTTTTTTTTTTTTTTTTAATTCTGATTCAGAATTAAAAAATGGTCTTGTGACTCAATGATAACGTGAATACAAACCCATAACACCCATTATAAAGTCTCCGCATATGCGGATGACTTATTATTTATCCTTACGAATCCAGAAACATCTCTCCCAGCCCTAACGAATGAGCTATCCTCCTACTCCAAAATATCAAACTTTAAAGTCAATTACGACAAAAACGAAATCTTACTAATAGCAACAACAGACAATGTGATTAATAGAATCAAAACAACCTTCCCTTTTAAAATGGCCACATCCCACATAAAATATCTTGGTACTAAAAGAACCCCACTGACACGAGACCTATTTAACGCCAACTACAACCCTATACTGAACACTATATCCAGAGACCTACAAAAATGGAATAAACCACATTTCGCCTGGATAGGGAGAATTAATATAATAACAATGAACATCCTACCCCGCTTATTGTACGTCTTCCAAACAGTACCAATACGAGTCCCCCAAGTATTTTTCAAATCGTTATAAAAAACCCTCACAGACTTCATTTGGAATAGAAACAGACCGAGAATTGCATTCACCACACCCACTAGTTCGAAATCCAAAGGTGGACTGGGACTCCCAGATCCACACACATACTACCTAGCAACACAACTAACAAGGATCATAGAATGGTGCAACCCAGAGAGTATAAAACATTGAAAGGCCCTAGAACAAGAAGGGATCCCATTCCACTGGCAACACTGCCATGGCAGATAGAAAGATCACAAGAAACGTGCCCCTACAAACACCCCGCCATAGGACCACTACTGGAACTATGGGATAAGCACGCACACAAACTAAACCTTAAAAGTGAGATTTCTCTGCTAATAACACATAACCCAGCATTCCCTCCCGGGAAAAAAAGGGCTTTAAATGGTTGAAAACCTCACAACCCGCGATTATCACACTTGGAAACATCACAGAACGGACAACTGATGCCTCTTGCAAACCTGAGTGAACACCCACAACACTCCTTCTTAGCCCATTTCAAAAACCACCAGATTCTTACCAGAAACAAATACTTACTAACACAAACCAATCGTACCAGATTCGAGGATTGGTGCACACCACCCACCACAATAACCAGACCCCTCCCCTTAATTCAATCTCTAATAACAGAGGAATCCCAAAAAACACTACCTAAATTTACAACCGAATGGACTGAGGAACTAAATACAACACTCACTCCAAACGATTGGGAAAAAATATTCCTATCAACACACACAAACTCACTCAACATACCCCTTGTTGAAATGAACTACAAATTAGTCACAAGATGGTATAGAACTCCAGTAAGACTACACCACATATACCCATCAATAAGATACCTGCTGGAGATGCCAAAAGGCAAGAGGCACGTACGCACACATATGGTGGGAATGCCAAAAACTGAAAGATTACTGGACAGTCCTCTTAGAAGCCATAACACAAATAACAAAACCACAAACTTTTGCTGAGGTTTTCCTCCACCTGTCACAAAAACCATTAAAACACTATCGTAAATCATTAGAACAATACCTACTAACGGCTGCTAAAGCCTTAATCCCAAATACTGGAAACAAGATAACGCACGCACGGGTGGAACAGATTAGACTGGTGGAAGAGCTCACCTATTCACTCAAAAACCAGTATATGACATATTATACAACATGGGAACCATGGACAATATATCTCAAATAACACCCCACAACAGAGGCCAACCGGGACGAAGGCACCTTCCGAAAGGGAGAGAGAAGGGGGTAACAAGGGAAACATAAACATCAGCCGATATCTGACAAACCCATTTAAACTGAGACTATACTTAACAATAAACAATATTAAACCAGCACAGAGAACCATTTGTAACAATGGTACAAAGCAGGCTTAAAAGCATAGACTTAAGACTAAATGCAAGAGCCAGACCACCAAAAAGGCTAAACAACCCACAACCGTAACAGGATGCCATAACCCATTTTCCCGGTCCTCTATCCTCACGCACCGATCACCAACCCCAGGTAACCACATGAACTAACCCATAACCCACTCCAATCCTCCATCCAGGAGTCTCAAACGAACAATAAAAGGGACACAGGGTGACAAACCGGCAAGATAGTGCAGGGACCTACAAAGGCAGGCAGACCACATCAGACTTGTAGTATATACAATCCGGGGGCACACTTGACACCTCGACAATTAACTCTACACAAGGTTTGATATGAAGCAACAAATGTAAACAGCGCTGATAAGGCAATGAACATGCAGTCTTCGATTAGCTAATATCTAACCCGTGTTATAATTTCAATGTAATGGTGAATGAACCTATTGGGCTGTTCTGTTCACCCATGAAGAACTCAATAAATTGCCATACCCCACACCCCCCGCTTCCCAATTACCAAAATAACCCTTGGTTTGTTTCCTACCCCTTCCTCTCCCTCCTTACCTTACTAGGAGATGTAGAAAAGCTGTTTACTTGATTTGCAAACACGGATGTAAAATGAAAACGCCAGTATGCTTAAAGGTTGCTTCAACCTGATGTACCTTTATGATGTACAACTTGAAAAAAATGGTCTTGTGGTGTACCATATATTAATATCTAATTTACTTTTGTGTATTAACAATCATTGTTCTTTAAGCAGGGTGGCAAAGCATGCAGTCTTTTGTGTTTGGGCACACACCTTCTGCACAGCTGTGACTGCAATATTTGGCATATTTTTACATATTGGATGAACTAGTTAGACATGTTATTGCATTAAAGCAAATTGATGATTTTTTTTTTTAATTTATTCCTCTTTGTCAGTTGTGGAAATGTAAACTGGGCCAGGAGATCAGAGTGTAACATGTGCAACACTCCAAAGTATGCCAAACTGGAGGAAAGGACTGGTAAGTGAATTTTTTTTCCTTTTTTTCTTTGTCTAGACTGCTGCTTGGTCTTAACATTGAGGGGTGACTAGTTGGGTTATTCACTAAAGTGAGTGCAAATTCAACATGAATTTCAAATGTAAGTTTTAAATTGCTAAATTTGAAGAATAATTTTTTTTTTTCTAAGACAGCTATTTTCAGTTTGGTTACTTTGGCTTAAAACGTGGAAAATCTCCTTGAATCCTCCATGTAGCATCCTGATCATTTTACTGATTTTACAATACAAAAAGCAGCCATTATGTTTTGTTTTGCCTTTATGAATGCATATTTAAGTCAGAGTTGGTCACAAAGTTAAAATATTCATTAGCTATCTGAACATCTTGAAATTAAAGTATTTTGCCTACAATGCTTTGATTCTTCGTGAAATATTGTTCCCTCCATTTTGTATCATGTAAAAACTTTAATCTTCTCAGGTTGTTATTTCTTTGTTTTCTAATTTATACATGATTAAATCTGGATTTTTAATTTTAATATTTAGGGTATGGTGGAGGATTTAATGAGCGAGAAAATGTGGAATATATTGAACGTGAAGAGTCAGATGGGGAATATGACGAGGTAAATAATTTTTGCAGCTTTTGGTGTTTTGTTTTTAAATTTGAAAGCACTTTCATTTAATAATTTTTCTGATGACAGTTTGGACGTAAAAAGAAAAAATATCGTGGAAAACCACCTACAGCCAAGTCTGGACTGAAGAGTAATGAACAAGATGCTTGTCCTCCAGAAGAAGATGATGAAGAAGAAGAAGGGGCCGATCTCTCAAAATATAAACTGGATGATGTAAGTAGTGAAAGTTTTGAAGTTGTTTTGTTAAATACACAGTAGAGGCGTGGAATTTTTCATCCTATGTCACTAGCCAGGTCTTAAAAGTTACTCGCCACTGCATTCCTAGTGGGTCCGTTGATAAATTTATCCTCTCCAAGACTTCTAGCTTCATAACCACTACAGCTAATTTGAGTAGTAGTGGACAAAAAGATATCCCAGCAACCCGCTGGTTACATCCTAATGAGGACGCTTTTGAGACTTTATGGTGTGATCTTATTTGATAAGCCGAATGCCCTAGGGAGTTGATTTACCCTTGTCATATCACAGATTACCTGTTTGGCAACACCATATTACCTTTAGGACTACTTGTGATGCTCAGTGACAAAGACTGTTTGTATGGAGGGACAGTTTAATTTTTACAACTTTACATTTGTATTTAGGATGACGACGATGATGATGATGAAGAAGAAGATGAAGAAGGGGATCTATCAAAATACAATCTTGATGCCAGTGAAGAAGAAGATGACAGTAAAAATAAGAAACCAGTGTCTAGCCGTAAATCTCATTCCCGATCGTCCCGCTCCTCTTCTCACACAAGCTCAAGGTCTAGGTCCAGGTAAACGGGTACAGATCAAGGGTAAAGCCGGGAAAAATGTCAGTATCTACTTTAACTTTCTTTACTTTTATATCAATATGTTTTATGTCATAATGACTTGGCTTTATTTACACTCAAATGTTTGTGTGTCTTTAATTTTTTTCATTTTAGTACTTTTATCTTTTGGCTGTAGGTTTTTTATCCAATAACCTCCTGCAGTACCTTTCAAGAAAGCATATTCATATCAATTATTGGCAATGTTTGCCTTTAAAATTCTCATGATCTACACTCTCTGTTTTAAAGGGAAACTGTAGCTGAAATACACGGTGGTTCTAAATGTAGAATCATTGTGTGCGGTATTCACTAATTTCATTAAATGTTTCCATCCCTCAGCAGAAACTAGAGCTTCAAATTTCTTGTGAACTACTTCATAGGGCTGGAGAGGCCATTTATATTGGTGTTCTTCTTTTCCTGCTACACTTCTGCTCCAAATAGGGAGTATATTGCATTGCCTGCACCAACATGATGATAAAACTGCACATTTATAAAATTGCCATCTACTTGTTGGTCCAGTGTTTTAAAAGGTGCCCAGGAATAATATTGTCCCGTTTTAGAACTGTGGGTAGATAGGATCACAATATGCACAGTCGGGAACTTTTTTTATTTTTTTTCTTCAATGTACTATTACCGACATGGAAACGTGGATTGTGCTAGTACTCATATCTTGGCAGCCATTCTGAACTGACACCATAGGCTTGTTGAGCTGAGAGTTATCAAAGAACTGGTCACACCTCACTGGTGGGCTTGTGTTTTATTTTTATTTTTAATATAGCATTATTGCATGTAGCTAATGTACTACATTTGCTAACATTTATATATTGCACAATGGGTAAATAATTGGCATCAGCTTATGTACAAAATGATCTTCATAACCGCTTGTATAGTGTGTTCCTACAGAGATCAGGGCAATGTGTTCTGAATGAAACTGCCTCCTCCCCTGTATTTTTCAAACCTTACTGAATAACCTCGCTGACATGACTTGTTTGCATGAGGATGCCTTTTTAGAACAAGGGGTTTTTTTTTTTTTTTTGTCCCCTACCTGAATGAGCTATGATATCTTAGAACGTGGAAACTGTTTTTTTGAGCAAGCTTCTGAGTAATGGCTCCATCGGAAAATTTGTAAAAGCTTTTCACTACTTAAAAAAACAAAGTGATAGACCTTAAACACTTTAAAACTCTTCACCCGCTTTCTTAAGGTTGCATTTAGGTATCGGCTTAGAATATAGTTTGGTTTGTTACAGCTACAAAAATAATGAAATGATTTGAAGGTAATCATTAATATATTGTCATTTTGAAAGAGGGATATGTAATAAAGAAACTTGTGTGATATTAGGTGAATTAAATCCCACCATTCTCTTTTTAAAGCGTGTGCTTGTAGTTATTAAAAACAAATCTTAAATTGGTAAAATACTAAACATTTGCTGTGCTATCTGATGGTCAAACTGTGTGCTATTTATCAGTATTGAATTCACCTAATTGTTAATTTTGTGGTTGCTGACATTTTTAGTGTAATCCACATAAAATCGTTCATTGAAACACTTCTGGTTTCCAACGGTTTTTAGTCATTTTAACATTTGCTAATGACTTGCATGACTCCTTTCCATTTTCCTTTTTTATATATATATATATATATATTATATTCCATCCACCTTCTAATTTTTATTAGAGTAGAATTTAGACAATACTGCCACACTTATTATGTCCCGGTCAGCTTACTGCGGCACCGTTACCCACCACCTCAAAACAGAGTATGTAATAAAAAATAAAAAAATAAAAAAAAAATAAAAAAATAAATCTTTATGAAATACTCCTTTTTGGATTTTTGCTGAAATTCCTATCCAGTCAAGAGTGTGTGTGTGTGTGTGTATATATATGTGTGTGTGTGTGTGTGTGTGTGTGTGTATATATATATTTATTCCTCCACAGCCCTCAATGCTAAAGTCTTGCACATGTGTGAGAGTTCAGCAGTGATGTCTGCTTCTGGCCCTGAAGTGCCGCTAGCTGAAAAGGACATGCTGGGAGAAGATGGCGATGTCAGTGAGGGACAGTTAAGTAAAGCTCCCCTTTGACCACCCCAGTGCTCCCACCTCCCCGTCGTGTGGCTTTTGCAAAGTGACTTTAATGTCCACTGATTATGTTGAATGTTTCACGTTAGTTTGTTAGCCGCTATTTCTTAATCCCTAATATTTTTTTGCAGGATTTGTATTCATAACAATTCTAAAACACTGTAGGCACTATAAACATTTTATCTAATTGAATTGATTATAGTGCCTGTCGTTCCTTAGCGCTGTCATTTCATTCAGTGTTAAACCAATTTAGCGCATCAATGGCTTCCCACAGTTTGGCCCCAACTGGAGGGATGACTAATCTAGAGATTACGCACTAACTTATGCATACCAATTTATACTATCAATGGAAAGCTGAAAGAGATCAACTGATACTCTCAATAAACCACTGCCACCCATTGCTGCTAAGGCTAATCTCTTCATTAGCCTGAGCAGCACAGAGGGGACTGGCTGCTAGGGACTCTAGTGTGGCATTAAAACTGGTTCAATGCTGTACAGAAAGAGAGCCTGGGGAATCCCGAAGCCAAAATAACTCGTGAGATAAATCCGGTATAGTGTTTACAGTTTCCCTTTAAATGTCAAGCTCTGGCATATTTTTTTTTTTTTTTTTTATAAACATAGTCTGTTTTCCCAGCTGTAGACGTGTAACAAATAGTTCTACATTGTATAATGTTTAAGCAATCAGTAGAAGTGGAAAAATCTGCCCCATGTTGTTTCAGGTCTCGATCAAGAAGCTCTTCCAGTTCCCGCTCAAGATCTCACACCAGCTCAAGAGAACCTTCTAAATCTCGTGGGTCGAGATCAAGGTGAATGGGGGGTAGCACTCTCTGATGCAAAAAGAGAGCAAGTTTTCCAGGATCTCACTAGGCCAGTGTATGACAGTCCACTCCATTTGCATCTTTTTAGAACCTTAAAAGGTTAAAGTCTTGCAAAGTCTAGCAAAGCTTACATTTGCCAAGTTGCATAATTTATTTATAAAGAAATTGTATAATTGACCATTTAAAAATTTTTTTTTTTATATATATATATATATATATATATATATATATATATATATATTAATATTAAAAAAAAAAAAAAAAAAAAATCTGGAATCCATAAATTCAAGCAGGTTATCTCAAACCTACTAATAATCCAGTTTATAGTAATAGAGTGAAATTAGGGCAATAGGTCCAAAAAGATAATCCCATAATGAATTTGCCCAGGTTGTCATAAGTGGGAACCAGTGACAACTAATATATTCTTGGATTCTGCCCTTCTACAGAAATGTACAAACCTTCCACGCAAATACACTTCCTGCATTCATATTCACTAGCTCTCCATGCTGGGGACAGATACAAAGACAAACTCCTTGCCTTTGTGGCGGTAAAGGAACATTAAGACCTGTAGTGTAATGTTTTAAAGCTCCTGTTACTTGTGGTTTTTTTTGGTTGGCAAAGACTCCACCAAAGTATGACATGTCTGCTTACGTAGCCTGGGAGAGACAGGAATATTTATAAGCTCATGTAAACCTCTCATTGATTAGTTTTAATTTCCTGACTTTTCGATGTAACATTTAAGGACAATTTTCCACTAAAATGTCTTCCCTTCATTTTTTTTGTTTGTTTTTTCGAACACTCTATTATGGGGAAAAACCTTGAATGTCTGGTTGACAGGTCAAATTAGCATTTCATATATTGTTTATAAATTGGTACCTCCTGAGGGAGGTAACGTGTATATTAAAGGGGAAGGGGGGAGCCATGTATATTAAAGGGAAAGTATTGTGTTTTTTTTTTTTTTTTTATTCCTAAAGGGATATTCCAGACCCCTAAACAACTTTAGCTTGCTGTAAAGCTTTGTGTGGAGAGTATGTCCTATTTATTTCTTTAAAAAATAAATAAAAAAAATTGCAGATTTCAATAGAAACTGACACTTTCATAAATTTAACTGGTTACACACCCTTGACTTTCACACAGACAATACATCCTGTTACTTTCTGGTTTGGTTAGCTCAGCGGAGATAAACTCAAGATGCAGCAATCGTTCAGAGCACCTGCCTTGCAAAGATTTCTCATTGAGTTACATTCGGAAGTCTGTGATTGGACAGCCACAGAAAGTCTGGGCGGGGTTGGATGGGGAAGGATTGCAAAGGCAGAACTGCACTTTTGCAAGCTGCTTTTAGATATACTGCAATGAAAAAAGTGCATCATTAAAACCATGCAAATTGTAATTTAGGATATACCTACTAAACAGTGATTTTTATTTATTTTGTATTTGGGCACTGGAGTGTAACTTTAACGTGAAAATGGAGTTTGTATGTTAACATATTCCTATCTGCTACCTACGCGTGTCTTTTCTGATAACTGCACACAGCTTGACATAATTTTCATTGGCGCAAAAGGTTTAGCTATTTTACCTGATATGTTATTTAAAAGTTCAGAAGTGTGAATTTATTGTATTTAACACTGTTTCAAAATAATTGTTAGAGAACTGATTAACTTGTTCTTGTGTTTTTAAGGAAATAATTCCTTTTTGTTTTATTACCATAGTGTTTATTGACTGATTTCCTGCATTAAATTTTATTCATTTTTAATCAATAAAGATCCAGCTCCAGGTCCCAAAAGGACTCTCGTTCTCCGAGAAAAAGATCTTACGCCAGTTCCCGATCTTCATCTCCCGAGAGAGGCAAGAAGAGAAGTCGCTCTAGATCCTCCTCTGGTGACCGCAAAAAAAAGAGATCAAGATCACGGTCTACAGAAAGGTTTGGGTTACTGTAGAATTAGAAAAAAGGTTGTTTTTGTGTTAATGTCAAATCAGAAATCTTGGGGATATTTGTTTTTAAATTTTTTTAAAATTTTTTTTTTTTGTAAATGAAAATTTGTTAACATGGACATATATCTAACATATTCAGTATATTTACAGCGTATTATGTTTCGACCTCTGTATTTTCGTTGTAACAGTTTTGTCAAAGTTGCACCTGGCAAGCATTTTATTTATTTTATAAATACAACATTTTATAACTTCTTGTGGGATTTTCAATTCATTTAGTGTTTTTTGGGGTTTTTTCTGTGACATTAAACTTATTCCATGCATGAAATATTTAGCCAATACCTAACCAATGGGTGCTTTTATTAAAAAAATTTGTAACGCAATAGTAGAATAAATGATCCATTAGATATTTGCTAGTTCTGGTATTGTGGGTCGGTTTCTGAAAACTGTGTGTGTATGTGTCTCCATTTACCTATCTGAGTAGAAGTGTGACACATAGTAGCAAACACACTCGAAACTGCTTTTGTTTGTTTTTGTTGGGTTTTTTTTTCCCTCAATCCGTTGCAAACTTTCTGATTTGTGTTTTGCAGACGTCGAGGTTCATCGTCTGGATCATCTCATTCTGGCTCCCGTTCTTCGAATTCCAAAAAGAAATAATACACTTTTAGAAAAAACCATATCAATTCCAGTGTAATGCATGAGGCAACATCAGAAAAAAATAGTCTTATCTGATGAAAAGTGGCAAAAAAGATCAATTGATAGTAGAGGTGCATGGTCTTTGTGCTTCCTCAGCTACAACTGCAGCAAGCTTTTCCATATAACAATAGCATTTTAAGCCATAAGAAAAACTTTTAACCCTTTTGTTCTTGGAATACAGTGCAACAAATCGCCATTGCCTTTTCTTTATCCATTTTTTGTTTGTATAATTAATAGCATGATGTGAAATGTGAATATTTTCTTTAGAATAATTAGTGTGCCCATATCTCCAACCCACCTTTTCTTTTCTCTTAATTTTTCTTCCTTATGGCTTAAAATGCTTTTTTTTTTTGTGTTCCTCCTCAAAACTAGATTTATAAATGTTGCAGGCCTATTGGTTCTAAAGAAAATGTATATCAACTGGTGGTATTACAAGGTAAGTATTAGGTATTTATAATAAGGACAGAAACAACGTTTCATGACTTAAATGCCCAGAATTAACATTTAAAAAAAAAAAAAAAAATCATCATGTCTACCCAGATTTTAGAAAAAAATACATTTCAGTTGTCATGACCAGGCCCCCTCATCCTATATTTCTGTGCTACGGGCATACTGTCTGGTACTGAAAGTCTTTACAACAAAACTCTAGCATCTTTTCATTAAATAGTGAGTTGACAGTTTTGCAATTTCATCCAAAATAGACAAGTTGGGGGATCTGCAATTTATAATTTTTGGAGGATTTCCTCTTAACTCTTCTACACTGGCCTAAATTTTGGAAATATATCAGCTTGCTCTGTGAGGAATTCATTTTTTATTACTTTGTACTTTCATTAATCTCTGCCCTCCCCCACACATAGCCAGATGTATTTTTTTGATCTGTATTCCTACCATGAATGTAACTTGTCACTCAAAATGTAAATTGTATTTGTGCCTATCGCTACTCTTTCAAATCTGTGCAGAACTTCTTAACCACGTGTTACTAGAAGCCATCAGTAGTCTGTCCATCTTTGTATACAAATGTGTGCTGACAAGGTGAGCGTTTTTACCATTCTATTACAGAGGACACAAACATTTGTTGAAAAACTCAATATTATTGTTTTGCTGGGTTTAGCAAAAATGTAATTCATTTTTTGGGGGATTTCTTTTCTGTAGAAAATATGTAAATAAAGAGAAACTGACTTGTGTACCCAGCACATTTTGTATCTGTATTCTATTAAGCGGGGATCAGACTCCAAATATCTGTCATTAAGATTGTAAGTAATTTCTCTTACAAGCATTTTATGTTCTTATATTACTAAAGTTAAAGAGAAACTATATAGTCACCAAAACCAGTTTAGCTTAAAGGGAATCTCCAGGCAGAGTAGTTTACTCACCTGGTACCAGCGCCAGGAGTCTCGTGAAGCCGCGCTCCCTATTTCGTCAAAATTACGAAATAGGCGGGCGCCAGCAGGGAGCAATCAGACGCTTCCATTTGGAAGTGTCATTGCTCCCTTGTGCACATGCGCGGCTTCGCCGCACATACTTCATAGGGCAGCATTCATGCCGCCCACTGAAGTCTTGAGCGCACTACCACGCATGCGCGTGGTGTTCGCGGGCTGAGCTGACTCTCAGCTCGCGGTCTTTGCCTGCCCCTTCTCTTCTGCTGACAGGCAGGAGAGAGAAGGTGCGCGCACACAGTGCTTTCTTTCTCCTGCACACGTCAGACGTATCTTAATACGTCTGACGTGTACAAGGCCTTTTTAGGGCCATACATTATAGGAAGACCCTCTGGTGGCCATCTGAGTGACGGCCGCTGGAGGTATTCCTATCAATCAATGTAAACACTGTATTTTCTATGAAAATACAGTGTTTATATTAGATTGCCTGCAGGGAGCTATAGATCGCACCTGAACAAATACATTAAGCTGTAGTTGTTCAGGTGACTATAGTGTCCCTTTAATGAAGCAGTTTTGGTGTATAGATCATGCCCCTACAGTCTCACTGCTCAATTCTCCTCTTGACTAGTGTGTCTGACTGCCTCTCAGCTTTTTCTAACTGGATGGCTGCCCACTTCTTTAAGCTCAACTTGTCCAAAACAGTCTTTTCCTCCCTAAAGTGTTGCTACTCCCATTTGTCTCCCTTCACGGTAATGGTGCTACCATCAGCTCCACTACGCAGGCTCGCTGCCTAGGTGATCTCTTTGACTCCAACCTCTCCTTCATCCCTCATGTCTAGTCTATTGCCAAATCCTGGCGCATCCATCTCAAAAACATTGCGTGCATCCGCCCCTATTTAACGCCAGATGCGGCTAAGGTGCTGGTCCATGTCACTGTCCTCTCTTCTCAGTGGTCTAACTTGCTCCACACTGCTGTCTATAATTAATGCAGCAGCGATTCTAATCTTCCTGTCTGCCCACAAGCACCTCCCACGCCTTACGCCTCTCAGTCCTTGCATTGGCTTCCTGTAAGATATAAGGCTCAATATAACATTCTGGTTCTTGCTTGCTGTGACAAAATGCCTTTTGTCACTGGGTTTTTATATGACCAACTGCCCTTTGCCCCTGGCTGTTGGAGGAGCCTGATTGCCAGCCTCCTCCCTCATGACTATGGCCCTGGGGTTTATTGCCACTTAAAAAGACTATTTGGGGCTTATTGGCTTCTAAAAGACTGTTTCTGCCCATTTGAATCCACATCCCCCGTTTCCTGTCGATTGTTCCAGCAGGGCGTTGTCCCAGGCACACTGCCAGACCAATTGGAACTTGCTGTTTTGCCCCTCCTCGGTCTCTCATCAGCTCTTGCTGTGTTTTAACCCCATGGTGATTTGACTGAGGTTGTGGTAACTGAGCGCTGTTCGGTTATAATGAGCGCTCAGATCCAAGCTATCTGGGGATAGGTTGAATGTGGGGGTTCTGTTAAGTATATTAGGAATTATGTATTTTTATGTGTTTTTACTGTTGTGAATAGAGCCATTTTCTGTATGCTGGAGGTAATTGGCTTACCACACCCAAGCCATGCTTGCAGATGGTCACAAAGGGATTTTCAACTAATTTTTAACCCAATGGACCAATTTGTATGATTTTTATGTATTTTTGTATTTGGAGTATGCTGATTCTGAAAATGTAATGTGAATGTGATGTATACTTTTAGAGTTATGAATATTGTGTAAAACTGTGTATTTTCCTGCCTGTGATAATCAAGTTAGACCATAGTGTTAAGTAATTATATATCACAGGCAGAGGGGAGGATTTTGTGTGAGAGTGTCTGAGTGTATTGTACGTATTGATTGTTCTGCAAAACCCTGTGGGCAGTAGTATGCGTGTAAAATGAAAGCATAAAAGCAGAGTGTTTGATTAAAAGCTTCAGTTCTACTTCACCCTCAATTTGAAGTGCTGTCTCTTATTGGGGGAATCTGCTACAAGGGATTGCTTTGCTGGTCATACTCCCTTGCTAAATCACTACTAAGCTCTTGTAAGAGCTTGTTCCTGTCCTGGTCGCTCAAGGAGTCCACGGTGGTTATGGTGTCGGCTGGAGTGCTTGGAGCCCTCAGGAAGCGCTAGGAGCATCCTTCAACGGAGGTACCCAGTCAGGGTGCCAGGTGATCCGTTACACTTTCAAATCTCTACATAATGCTACTCCGACCTATCTATCCTCCCTAGTACACAAAAATGTCCCGTCTAGGCCCCTATGCACTGCTGAAGACTTGTCTATCCTCTGTTCGTACTCCCACATCTGATGCTTGTATCCAAGACTTCTCTAGGGTTTCACCGTTCCTGTGGAACTCCCTTGCCTTTTCCATTAGATGCTCACCCATTCTCCACTCCTTCAAAAAATCATTAAAAATTAACTTTTTCACAAAAGCATATCAATTAAACTGTTAATGGCTCAAAAATAAAAAACCTGCGCGAAGTATTCATTGAATACTATTCTACCAATCTGCTCCTTAATACTTCCCTTACCTTTTGTGTTACTATACCCCACTCCCTTTAGCATGTAAGCTCATTGAGCAGAGCCCTCAACCCCTCTGTTTCTGTGCGTCAAACTTGTCTGGTTACAATTACATGTTTGTTAGTCCACCCATTGTAAAGCGCTACAGAATTTAGGAGTTACATCATTTTGTTTATACAGCCTTAGCTACACCTCTTTGCAAGTGACTCGCACAGCCGTCCTACACTTCCTGTAAAGAGTAATCTAACGTCTACACTTCCTATTGCACATTCTGTTTAATTTAGAATTTATCTTCTGCTGTTATAGCTTGTTAGACTGTGTGCAGGAGCCTCCTGTATGTAATTAAAGTTTAATTAACAGAGCAGGAGATAAAAAAAAAAAAAAAAACTTTTAAAGTAAGTGAAAAATGTTTTGTTCATGCAGGCTGTGTGTCATAGCCAGGAAAGGTGTGGCTAGGGCATCATAAACCGAAACAAAAGTGATGTAACGGCATGATCTATACGTTATAAATGCTTAAAGGACCGCTATAGGCACCCAGACCACTTCAGCTTAAGGAAGTGGTCTGGGTGCCTGGTCCAGCTAGGGTTAAATATATATATATATATACATACACACACACACACACACACACACCTAGCAGTTTCAGAGAAACTGCTATTTTATAAATGGGTTAATCCAGCCTCTAGTGGCTGTCCACTAGAAAATCACAGTGAGAAGACGCAAGCGTCCATAGGAAAGCATTATGAATGCTTTTCTATGAGACTGGCTGAATGCGTGCGCAGCTCCTGCCGCGCATGTGCATTCACCCAAAGAGGCGGAGAGTAGGAGAGCTCCACGCCCGGCGCTGGAGAAAGGTGAGTGTTTAACCCCTTCCTCTCCCCAGAGCCCTGAGGGTGGGGGCACTCTCAGGGCACTATAGTGCTAGGGAAACGAGTGTTTTCCTGGCACTATAGTGGTCCTTTAATTAACCTAAAGTTATTTTAGTGTCTAGTGTCCCTTTAATGCTGTACTATTTTGTAATTCAATTTCTGCATTGTCTCACAAGCTTATTTACAGTTGGCTGCTATCATTTGGTTATGAGAAAGATATTGGGAGAGGGGAATGTTTAAGAGCACTTTTATAGGTGCAAGTTTGTTTTGCAACTATTCTAGACAATGACTTCATTTACTTGAAGGGTACCTGTCAAGACAAATACAACTTTATCTTAAAGGACAGAGAATCAAATTTCATCTATTCATCGTTCTAGCAGAATTGCTAGCAAAAGTTTCTAGATTTGTTTAAACTCAGGTTAAAGGACCACTATAGGGTCAGGAACACAAACGTATTCCTGACCCTATAGTATTAACACCACCATCTAGCCCCCCTGGGCCCCTCATGCCTCCATAAATATATCAAAATCTTACTGTATTCAAGCCAGAAGCTGTAACTCTGCATGCTATTTGCCTAAAAAAAAAAAAAAAAAGCAGTCTGCTGACATCAGAAGTGGTAGCCTGATTCAATCCCAAAGCTTCCCCATAGGATTGGCTGAGACTGACAATGAGGCAGAATAGAGGCAGAGCCAGCATGATTCAAACACAGCCCTGACTGATCAGCATCTCCTCATAGAGATGAATTGAATCAATGAATCTCTATGAGGAAAGTTCAGTGTCTGCATGCAGAGGGAGGAGACACTGAATGTTTGGATGCATTTTAGGCAGCCATGACCCAGGATGGATCTCTAACCGCTATCTGAGGAGTTGCCAGTGAAGTTATCACTAAGCTGTAATGTAAACACTACATTTTCTCTGAAAAGACCATGTTTACAGCAAAAAAACTGAAGGAAATGATTCTACTCACCATAACAAATTCAATAAGCTGTAGTTGTTCCGGTGAGTATAGTGTCCCTTTAACAAACCGCATTTTCCACCTACTGTTACTAAATTTTGTGTGCCAATTGATACAGCGATAAGAAGGCTGTGCGCTGCATGTCTGTTAGGGAAACCCTCCTCTGCTTGTCTTCAGCCTAATGGAAATCAATGCTTGCAAGTAGAAGGGGACAGGATCTGTGTGAGAGCAGCAGTATCCTGGAGAAAATTTCAGAGGGATTTTATTGGAGGAACTTTTAACAGGCAATCTGAAAATAGAGGACAGATATGTTTTATTTTCATACCATAAAGCCAACTTAAAGTAGTGGTCTTTTTTAACCTGTTATTAGCAGTAGTAGGGAGTAATGGAAATAAATTCAAATAGGAAAGGAGCCGGGTCTGCCTGTAGAATTGACAATACTCGCTTTGAGTAGACTGGCCTAACAAGAACGAGCTATGCAGGGAGCACGGTTTCATTTGACAGTGCAGGTTTCAATAGAAATTTGCACTTTTATGAATTAACTTTGTTACAACTCCTGGCTGTCAATCAAACAATTGGCCCTGTTATTTCCTGGTTGTTTAACCCAGTGGAGCTAAATTCAAGAGGCAGCCAATCATTGTTGGTTCAGCTCATTTAGTGCTGTTAGGAGATGAGCTTTGCACTTGCATTGATAAGGACATCTTTACAAAATCAGGACAAATATGCAGTTCTATTTTGATGTATTATGCGCTATGTGCAAAAACTATTCTAAAAAAAAAACCTTTTTTTGAAGAGCAAGATACATCGTGCGAAACTGCGGTAAGTGATCAAATGACATAAATTTCCCACAAATAAAACATTTGTTAGACTGCACATATTTATAGGGTAACTAGACTAGAAGCACACAGTGCTTTTGGCTAATAACTGAGGGAATACAGGAACAAAATGCAAGACTGAAGCAATGGTTGCCTATTCAACTGGAAACGATCTAAAGATACTGCCAATGATTACAAAAATGTTGATGGAATAGAAGATGAGTAATAACACTGGTACTAACCCAAAATTAAAGTGGAAGGCATATGAAAAACAAAAATACAAAACAACCACCCAGAAAGTGCCAAGAGGCCAGTTTAAGGTACCTAGGCCATATTGCAAGTAAAGATGGTAAGCTTATGCCCACCAACCAGTACTGCCTACCTGGTGAAGTTGTATCATTCAGGATCCAAAGAGCATTGCACCTCCAGGCTCAAACACAGTCCAGCACACTTTGCTCACAGGTCAGATTGTGTTCAGCTACTCGAATGGTTTCTCAGGATCTTCCCCCAGAATGCCACCTTTGTAAAATTTTAAATGTTTCCAATTTTTTGATATTTTAATTATATGTGATGTATTTATGGTAGCATTTGAAATTATTTGCTAATTCCACCACAATAACCCCTTTATCAGTTTTAGTTAACTGAAACATTTTACATCACTGAATCAGGTGTGTTTTTGTGGCAGTAGTGCAAGGAAGAATTTTGTCACTTGACTTTAAAGGAACATTATATTGTTAGGGATACAAATGTGTATTCCAACATGTCTATCACCTAGTCATTGTTTAGGTGAGCGGCAGGGCCTATAGGCGACTTAGGCAGTCGCCTAAGGCGCACCGGCTACAGGTGGTGCAGACCGTGGTACAGGAGTTCTGTTTCCTGTACCTGGCCGGACTGAAAGAAAGTGCTCTCTCAGTCAGCACTTCCTGTCAGTCCGGCTGGGTACAGGAAACATAACTCCTGTACCGCGGTCCGCGCAGCCTGGTCACGCTACACTGATGTCTGAATGGGGTCAGAGAGAGACCACCATTGGAAAAGGGGGGGGGGGGGTAGGGGAGGAGAGTAGAGCCCACTAAGGAACAGGGAAGCAGGGGAGAGCACTAAGGGATACACAGGAACCACAAACACTCTTTCACACTGCACACATAGACAATGCATCCTTTTACATACACAGAAACACCCGATGCATCCCTACACACACTAAAACATACAGTGAATCCAACACACAAACACACAATGCATCCTTTACACACACTGCTTCTCTTAATGCATCGCTTACACGCACACACATTCAATTATAGACACACTGCCTTACATTACATACACAGAAACACACCTTGCATTCTTTACACATACACAGATTCACACAATGCATCCATTACACACACGCATACTTCATCCCTTACACAAAGTGGTATCCCTATACACTACATTTCATAAGAATACACACACATTACATCCTCTACAATAACACATACACTACACTCTCTGTGAGCAAACTCATGGGTGGGCCTTGTAGGCATAATTCTGGTCAGGACCTCGGGGCCCAGACCGTGATCTGTGTAAGGGGTCCAAAAAACTGGAGCTGCTTCCTGTTTGTTGATTTTTGTGAGCACTGCCTCCAGAGAGCCTCTTTTAACACCAGACCAGTGGAGCCAGACTACAGCCTGGGCCCATCGTCATCCTCTTGTCCTCATCTGGTAGTAAGTAGACAATCCAGTATATTATTAGTGGCACTAATCTGTAATTAACCTCTCATTAAAGGGACACTATAGTCACCAGAACCACTGTAGCTTAATGTAGTGGTTATGGTGGCTATAGCCTGTCCCTACAGCCTTTTTAATGTAAACACACTGCCTTTTCAGAGAAAAGATACTGTGTGCAGCACTAGCGTTGGCTCATGTGGCAAATCATATGGGTGGGGTATTGTGATGTCACATGGTTGGCAGAGCATATATGGGGGGGCCGCAAATTTTTGTTCACCTAGGTCGGCAAAAATCCTTGCACCGGGCCCCTGTTGCAATGGTTAGAAAGGTGGGTTTACTTTTTCTCCCTGTCTGCACTGCACATTTTTGGAGGAGCCGATTGAGATCGATCTCAGCCAATCCAAATGCTTTCCCACAGGAAGCCTTGGGAGGCTTGTACACATTCGTGGTAAAACACAGAGCTGCTCCGGTTATATGATCTCTCTGAGATCATCTGATGGAAACAGTTTTGTCCTCTTTCATCAGAAGCACATCTAGTGGATGTCTGAGTGACAGCCATTAGAGGCATTTAAACCATACAATTAAAACATTGTGGTTCTGCAGAATAGCAGTGTTTTCAGCTGCAGAGTTAAAACAGACATGGCCCCTTATCACTTTATTGAGGTGAAGTGGTCTGGTTGCCAACATGCTCCTTTACAGACATTATTTAAATGTATAGTCCTATCCAAACTCATTCCATAACAAGAAAATGTCCAGTACTGATAGGGAATGCTTCAGATGTTATCAATTTTTTTTTTTGTTTGAGAAACGTGACACATACAATAATGTGGATGACTAGATATATTCACTTTATTCTAATTTGGGTGGTTAATAGGCAATATATTATTTATATGTAGTGTTTTTTTGTTTTTTTTTTAAATATATACAGGTAACGATCTGAGATAAGGAGCACTCTCTTAAAGGGAGTGCTCCTAATCTCAGCTTGTTACCTGTATAAAAGACACCTGTCCACAGAAGCAATTAATCAGATTCCAAACTCTCCACCATGGCCAAGACCAAAGTAACGTCCAAGGAAATGGTGAGGAATCAGCCCAGAACTACACGGGAGGATCTTGTTAATGATCTCTAGGCAGCTGGGACCACAGTCACCAAGAAAACAATTGGTAACACTATGCCGTGAAGGACTGAAATCCTGCAGTGCCTGCAAGGTCCCCTTGCAAGAAAGCACATGTACAGGCCCATCTGAAGTTTGCCAATGACGATCTGAATGATTCAGAGGAGAACTGGGTGAAAGTGTTGTGGTCAGATGAGACCAAAATTGAGCTCTTTGGCATCAACTCAACGACCCGTGTTTGGAGGAAGGAGAATGCTGCCTATGACCCCAAGAACACCCTACTGTCAAACATGGAGGTGGAAACATTATGCTTTGGGGGTGGTTTTCTTCTAAGGGGACAGGACAACTGCACCGCATCAAAGGGACGATGGATGGGGTTATGTACCCTCAAATCTTAGGTGAGAACCTCTCTGCCTCAGCCAGGGCTTTGAAAATGGGTCAGGGGTGGGTATTCTAGCATGACAATGAGTAGCCTAGCCAGTCTCCAGACCTTAATCCCATAGCAAATCTGTGGAGGGAGCTAAAGGTTCGAGTTGCCAAACGTCACCCTCGAAACCTTAATGATTTGGAGAGGATCTGCAAAGAAGAGTGCAAATCTGGTGGCCAATTACAAAAAACGTCTGACCTCTGTGATTGCCAACAAGGGTTTTGCCACTAAGTCAAACAGGTTAAATACTTATTTCACTCATTAACATGCAAATCAATTTATAACTTATTTGACATGTGTTTTTCTGAAAAAAAAACCTTTTTGTTCTGTCTCTCACTGTTAAAATACACCTACCATTAAAATTATAGACTGATCATTTCTTTGCCAGTGGGCAAATGTTCACAATCAGCAGGGGATCAAATATTTTTTCCCTCACTGTATATCTGAGTAATAGGCATGTTGCTTTAGAATTCTTTTATTTGTGGCAGTGTTAGATATGCAACATTGATGTTTAATGATCTACACAACGTTTGAATACCCTTAGTCCTATACGGTTATGTTTCAAGGCTTTATTATGGTTTTATTATTTTTAAACTTGAGAATTACCATAAATTCCAAATTAAAAAAAGTTAGGAGATTACGGTGCACACTTGATGTAACATTATTGCTGTATTCCACATATGTCTATGTTGGTACTTACCTTGTGTCTGGCTACACATTGTGATAATGCCAGAAACTATTTCTGCATAAATGTTCAAATACACCACTAAATATTCACTGGGGGTATCTACAAAGGGTTTCTTGAAGCACCATGACCACTTCAGTGTTCAGTGAAGTGGTCATGGTGCCTGGAGTCTGTATATGCAGTATTTTGCTTTTAAACTGCACCTCCTTGACTGGTGCTGGTGTGGGATGTTCCGGGATGGTTAATGTAAATGTTGTGCGAATTATATTGCACAGTGCATCATTCATTAGCGGAGTGGTCAGCTGATGCTCTCTGCCAGTAAATTGTGACTGGGTTGTGTCACCAGATATAAAAGGAGTCTCTGAGAACAGCAGGGACACAAAGCAGTGTGCCCCATTCACAGGGAAACAAGACCAGAGTACACCATATATTATCAATAAGTTTTTGTTTTGTTTTTAAACCAATTCATTCTATCAACGTTTGTTTTTTGGGGTATCGATTACAATATTGCCTTCAGTGGACATGAAAAGTTTTTGCTGTGATAAAGTTGAGTCTAAAAATACTATTTTTCTTTTTCTTTTACTCTTTGAAAACTGTCATGAATCAATATTATATGATCTAGAATAGCAGTGAAAGCATCTTGGTGTAAAATGTTTTTTTTGTTTTTTTTATTGTCTTAACACCTTCCCGTCGGATGACGGACCCGGTCCCGTCATGACGGGGAAACATTTAACGCCGAATGACATGGTCCATCATGCTTTAAAGTTAACCCCAGATTGCCGCGATCGCGGGGTTAACACTCCTCCGGTCTGTTTCTGTATTAGAGGTTGAACGGGAGCACCCGTCAGAGCGAGCACATGTGCTGCAGGGACTCACCATCCGCCTCCCTGCTCTTCCCTGATCTGTGTGACGTGTAGGGAGACGGATCAGTGATGATGTGCTTCCCCTGTAAAAAAAAATAAAGTTAGTTTAAAATCCCACCCCGCTTTACCCATTTTAAATAAAAATTAACCTCTTCCCTGCCAATTGATCACTGACTACAGTGATCAATTGGCAGAGACTAGATTTTACTGTGATCTGATTTTTTTTTTTTTTTTAACCGTTGAGGGTCAACTTTTATTTTTTGTAACCCTCAGGGGTTAATTTTATTTTATTAATTCATTTAAATATATTAAAATGATATATTTAGAAACAGGGAGGAAGTTAGTTGGGGAATGGGGGAATTTGGTGTTCGACTAGCTAGGGGTTAACGTTAAAAAAAAGATTTAAAAAGTAAAAAATGTTTTAATAATTAAAAAAATAAAAAGGAATAATCCCACCCTCCTTTACCCAGTTCTAATAAAAATTAACCCCTTCCCTGCCAGTTGATCACTACCTACACTGATCAAAATACAGATCACAGTATTATACTGTGATCCGATTTATTTATTTTTTTAACCCCTTAGGGTTAACTTTTTTTTAACCCTCAGGGATTCAATTTATTTAATTAATTTAAATATTTTAAAATGATATAGTTTGCTAGCTGTGGTGGGTGGGAGTTATGGCACGTTTACGGTTAGTGCTGCTTACTGCTAGTTAGGGGTTAACGGTAAAAAAAAGCTTATAACTTGTTAAATCTGTAAAAAAAAAAAAAAAGTTGGAAGAAAGTTTAGAAAAATTAATATGCAAAAAAAGTTTAAAAACTAGTTTTAAAAAGTACAAAAATAAATTTATAAATGCTTATTACCACTACACCTGGACCAAACTAGAGAAAAACATGATCCCACACTAAGGTTCAAAATTTGCCTTTTGAATTACCCCAGGGTGTATTCTTTAATAAATAGTATGTGTTTGTGGGGAAGTTTCAATAACCAACCATCTAAACTACTCCAAGATGGAACATGGACACAGCGTAAAACTTCAAAGTTAGAAAAAAACTGAATGGCTGCGTTTCAAATGTGCCCCTCCGATGTCCACATATATCTGGCAAAGGTACATATGAGGGTATTGCTGTACTAAGCCGACATAGCTGAGCAACATATGAAGTATTACACTGTTGTAGTACACATAAGATTTGAAAAATATACTGTGCAAACTCACTTTGTGTGTCAAAAAGGCAGAAAAAATGCTTATTACAACTACACTTGGTACATGCTAGCGGAAAAATGATCCCACGCTAAGGTTCAAAATACGTCTTTTGAAATGCCCTGGGATGTCTTCTTTAAGAAATGGTATGCCTTTATGGTGTAGTTGTAATATGTAGAGTGCTCCAAAGTGGGACACGAACGCATCAAAACCCTCCATGAAAATTTGCACTTAAACTCCTGAACTTGTCACGTCTCTTTTACAGCACTGTAGCCTCACAAAATAGTGTCTAGGTCATACATTGGGCATATTGTTTTACTCAGAAGATGTAACTGAGTATAATTTGGGGATTTTTATGACAGTGATACATATTAAGTGTAAGAAATACTCAGCAAAAATGCAACCTATATGTAAAAATGCAATTTCCCCCCCTCACCACAAACATTGACATATATTGGTGAAAAAATGGTGACAAGTTAAGGCACAATATACACCATATAAGATACCCTGGGGTGTCTGCTTTATCAAATGAAAGCCCTTTGTGGGGTTATTTGAACAGTCGCATTGCTATAATACCCTAAAATGAGATATAGGCCTGAAACTGAATTATCCTTGTCTCTTATATGGCACTGTAGCTTCACAGAATAGTGCCAAACGCATACAATGGGGGTATTGTTATACTCAGCAGATGTAGCTGAACACAATATGGGGTTCTGTGCAGGAATAGCACACACCAGCTCTATGAAATACACATTACAAAAACCTTGCTATATGTGTATTTGCCAAAATAAAGAAAAAACACAATTTTACTCCAATATTTAGAAGAGATTGACGCTGAAATGGCTACGTAAAAAGTTTCAACATAACCTTAGGTAAATAGCCTGTGATGTCTACTTTATATAAATATATACTTTTGTGCAGCAATTTTGTTTTCTGTGATGGCTACTAAACCTACAAGACAAACATACCAAATTCTAAAATTGTTGCAAATTGAAATTTTATTTTAGTTCTTGTATTTTGTGACCTGTAGCGGTCAAAATAAGCTGAAATCCTATACATATGATGCAATCTATAAATCAAGACACATAAATTAATTTATTTTGAATTACTTTTTCTAAGCTGGACGTATTATGCACACGCTATTATAGCCAAAACTGTGAGGAAAAAAAAAATATGTTTTTGTTTTCTTTTCAATTTTTTGTTTTTTTAAAATAATTTATGTATCTATGTATATGTGACATCAAATTAAAGCCCTGTTTGCCCTCTAAAAAATGGATATATAATATGTGTTGGTGCAATAAATGACAGAGATGCAAATTGCGTTTGAGTACAAACAGCAAAAAAGGCTTGTGTCCTTAAAGGTAAGACATGCTTCTGAAGCTGTGTCCTTAAGGGGTTAAACGAGACATTTCATGCACATAAACCTACTTAATATAAATAAAAGCGTCAATCCTTCCCTTTGCTGCATTGTGGTTTAGCAGGATACAGAATGCTAGAATCTCTCTGTTGGGGTGTGGATTCAAAGGAATTTGATTCGGACAAACCATCCAAATAAAATTTTTGCTCAAGTCTACAATATACTGTAGAAGTTGCCGTATGCCTGTGTTACATATTTCTAAATTTTTTACACACTTGTAACACTCATCGAGTAAGTCTTATTGTGGAGGGGGAGGAGGGTGCAGCACCTTAAATGTCCTTAGTTGTAGTGTAATGAAATAAGTATGATATAAGGTAGAAATCTGTTAGTGTAGTATGTTATAATCACTGAGAAAACAAGGAGAAAAGGGTGCACTTACACTATGTTGAGCTATAAGGTAGCTCCTTTTATGTGCACGAGATGTGGATCTGATTGTACCTCTTGCTCAAAAACATATTACATCCAATATGCAGCAGAGGGGAACAAGAAAAGGGAATCCAAAAACAAAACTATCTAGTGTACTATATTTGGCAATAGAGCACTGGATGGGTAGATGAATGCATTTGCACTTACATTTATTGGAGCCCTGTAATACAGGATAGAGCATTATGATCCTAACTCTGGGGTATGTGGGTGGTTCAGGTTCTCTCCTGTGTGGATATGGAATAGAAAACATAACTATATATTGCACACCATTTGATGGTCTGCTCAATCCTTAGGGCCTAGGTGGTGCATACCCCACCAAGGAAACAGAATCCGAAAATATTAACCTAAAAAATTAATTGTTTTATTAGTTGTAAGAAATAATAAAAAAAAACAGTAACCACTAACTTGTTTTGTCGATAGAAATGGTTTTACCAAAGTGTTGCATAAGCCTGGAAATCTTCTCTTTATACAACAGTCACAGAAATGCAAAATTTGTTGTCAAATGATGTCATTGTCGAGTGACTGCTAATTAGCATATTTGCATTTCAAATTGTAGTTTACAGGATAGACCGTAAATATATATTAATAGAAAACAAATTATGCACACAAAATATAAAAATAGTCATGTCGTGATTTTACAAGTGAGGCCACTACAAAATGGCTTTGTAGAGAGAGTCATGTGACACTTGATATTGTGAATATCACACAATAGAAAATAAAATTTACCGTATTGTGGGGATATTTAGATGTTCTTTGGCAACTGTACAGAATAGGAAGATATTGGCAAATAGAAGAGGGGAATAGACCCAATAAAGGGAGATTAAAAATGCGGGCTTGTGGGTGAAGCTGAATGCACAGGTACCCACCTCTACTCCTATCGGCCAAGGTAGAGCCTCCAGGATCCGGTCGCCATGTGACCAGCCATTGCCCATACTGCCACCGCTGGATGATTCGGAAAAAGAGCCTCAGGAGAGTGCATCGACTGGCACTTAATTGCCGACGCTGGGTAGTGGTGAGAGGAGTGCTGGGGCTGCAGCCAACACAAGCATGCAGCATACCTACAGCTACACCCCACAGATGTATCCCCGCATGGCACTCAAGAGGAGGCCAAATACTCTTGCATAATCCATGCTGTCAGAGGATTCCCACTTGGCAAGGCCTGCAGCGTGCATCATGGTGGTCCACACAGCGGGTTTGCATCCACACATGGAGTTGTGGGGATGCCCCCCATGACTCAACGGACTCTCAATTCCCACTGTCTATAGCTACCCATCTGTGAGCAATCGGCTGAGCAGCCCTATACTAGAAACTAGTTTGTCTTTTCATTGTTAATACATATAACAAATATTTAATTACTTAGTGGTAATAGTTCATCCTCATGTCAGTATGTGCAGCTTGAAGATTTCACTCACACTTTTCTGCGGACATGTTTTTTCCCTTATCTTGTCTCTCATATATTATAAAATGTACTCTATTCTGATATTTCCTAATAACTTTCCACCCGTGCATCTTTGTTTATACTCTTGTGCAATGTCATTATGTAGCTGTTTGTTATGCTATGCACTACCAAAAATAAAGGATGTCAAAAAAGATGGCTAGTAGTGTGATTAGAGGATAGTGGCGCCAATGTAGTCACGTAGTGGGACAACATAAAGGGGCTGGACGTATGGGCAAGGAAGATAGAGAGACCTAATATGAAAAAAACACAGAAAGAAGAATAGAAGGATAAACTAAAAATCTGAGTACATATACAATAGGGAAAAGGGTAAATAAAGAAATACAATAAATAGAAAGTGTAAAAGTTGATTACTAAATGAACACTTCCTTGCAAAACACAGCTCTCTCCTGCAGCATTATAGGCCTTGAGCAGTTGGCAAAGGGTCCAACAACTGAATGTTATGCAATGGTTGTGGCCTTGACTGTCATAGGACATGGTGTAATTGTGGGCCTAGGTACCAAAGCCTGGTAGTTATAATTCTACATCATCTGGAGATAGAAACATAGAATGTGACGGCAGATAAGAACCATTCGGCCCATCTAGTCAGCCCAATTTTCTAAATACTTTCATTAGTCCCTGGCCTTATCTTATAGTTAGGATAGCCTTATGCCTATCCCACGCATGCTTAAACTCCTTTACTGTGTTAACCTCTACCACTTCAGCTGGAAGGCTATTCCATGCATCCACTACCCTCTCAGTAAAGTAATACTTCCTGATATTATTTTTAAACCTTTGCCCCACAAATTTAAGACTATGTCCTCTTGTTGTGGTAGTTTTTCGTCTTTTAAATCTAGTCTCCTCCTTTACTGTGTTGATTCCCTTTATGTGTTTAAATGTTTATATCATTTCCCCCTTACATTTTGGGCATGCCTGGTCTAGGCAATGCCTTGTACCCTATATTTGACCTATGAATACCAACATTTTTCCAAGCCCCTCGAACTTACAGTCTGCTAATTCTTTGTTGCAAGATAGCTGGACCAAGATATGCCCAGGTTCAGACTTTGGACTTTTGGACCAAGTGCAGTCAGGGGCCTGGCTGATCCTCCCCGCCAGAAAGCTATACCTCACGTTTGCCAGCGATAGGTTGCAGGACACAGGCAAGCTATCTCCCTTACCCACCTCCCCAATTTCTCAGTGAGACCTGGCAGCACCAGGTTTCCTCCACCTGTGAGGACCTCTCTGTGAAGAGGAAAAGGCGGGCCGGGGGTTAGGAAGTGATGTCACTTCCTGCCCTCTCCTGCAGAGCACCTGGAAGTTAAAGAGCTATAGATTGCTTTTTGTTTTTTTTACTGCCCCTATCATCTCCCTTCACCCACCTCAGCCACGTCTCACTGCACCCACCACTGTCTCCCTGAACTATCCTCAGCCCCCTGCACCAACCACAGCCCCTCTGCCTCTGCTGCACCCATTACAGCCTATGACTAACTGCACTCACTACACCCATCCTTCTCTGCACCCATCACAGCCCCCATTCCACCCTACAACCACCCCAGCCTCCATCCTTCCATGTACCCATTTAAGTCCCTATGCATCCACCACAGCCCCTATGCCTTCTAGTGACCACTACAGCCCCTGTGCCCTCTCTGCACCCACCTCAGCTTCTATCCCTCCCTGCACCCACCACAGCCTCCCTGCTCTCACTACAGCTCCTATGCCTCCCCCTGCATCCACCACAGAGGCCTATGCATTCTTACACCCACCTCAGCGCCTATGAACCCCGAAGCAAACCGGCACCTACCATAGCCCCTATGCATGTCTGCACCCACCTCAGGCTCTATCCCTCCCTTACACACAACAGCCCCTATGCCTTTCTGCACCTAGTACAGCTTCTATCCGTCCCTACAACCACTACATCCCTTATACCTTCCTGTGTCCACTACAGCCCTTATTCTTCCCTGTACCCACTACAACCCCTGTCCCTCCCTGCATCCACTACAGCCCCCCTGCACCTATCCCCCCATGCACACACTACAGCCACTATCCTACTTACACACATACTGCAGCTTCTATATCCCCATCACACAGATGAGCCTCTATTATCCATACAACACACACACACTGCAGCCCCAGTAACCCCCAAATGCCTAATACAGCATCTAGCCCTTTCCACGCACATATTGCGGTGCAAACAGCCCCATCCACACATGCACACCCACAAGGAGTCTCATTGGATTCACACAATCCTACAAGCAGCATCCCAACACACGCAAAACCACATGGAGCATCCCTACACAACACAAGCAGCACCCCTACCATTGTAATAGTGCATACAGCATGCTTACACACACAGTTATTACAATCCTATATATATATATATATAGCACCAAAATATTCTGCAACGCTGTACAATAGACAAAACAAGACAAAAAGATTAATTCTAACACAACACGCTGACCAACAGGAACACATCACTAAGCAGCATCCCACACACAAAACCGCAAGTTTATGTTCGTATGGTGCACATGTATGAGACGCTGATTGTGATGTCATCAGAAAACACAAAGCGAGCATGTAATTACATTTGCTATATTTCTTTATTTTAGGGGAGATAGGGGAGCGTACCAGCAAGTGGTTTACGACTTCCTATATGGTACTATAATGCTAGGAATACGATTTTGTATTTGCGCTATACTTTTCCTTTAACTTTCAAATGATTGCATTTGCTATGTACACTTATTTCTAGAGCTATCTCAAGGACAAGGACATTTGCTTGATTCACAATAGGAATTTGAGTAAGTGCCTGGTGCAGATTGGGACCTGGCAAGTTATCTGACGTGCCAGCTGGTATTATACTATTTACACAAATCAATGGAATGCAAGATGTCTATATTTACTTCTGAGTTCATATTTACCGCAGATGGTCTCACAAAGGCAATAAGCAGTAAAAGAGAACTGGTCATTAAGGTACATTTATTCTATATTTAGAGAGAGTATTGAGGATATTTAAAGGGACACTCCTGCCTCCTAAAGCAATTTAACTTGATGGAGTGCTTTATGTATAAAGAAGATTGTGTCCTCTGTATTTTACACAAAAGAGTGCAAATTTCAATAGAAATAGGCACTTTTCTTAAACAACATTGTTTCCCCTTGGCTCTCCTGTCACTTACCTGGTTTGGTTCACTCAGTGAAGCTAAACCCAAGAGGCACCAATTGCCCAGAGCACCTTCCTTGGGAAGTCTGTGATTGGACAGCCACAGAAAGTCTGGGCTGAGGAAAAAGGAGAGAGTTTGCAAAGGCTTAAAGGGACACTGTAGGCACCCAGACCACCTCAGCTCATTGAAGTGGTCTTGGTGCAAACTCCCATCACCCTTTACCCTGCAGTGGTAAATATTGCAGTTTTTATAAACTGCAATAATTACATCCAAGGGTTAACTCCTCCTTTAGTGGCTGTCTACCAGACACCAGACAGCAACTAGAGGGACTTCCTGATTTTAAATGGACTTTAGGTCCATTATGTGACGCTGGACTTCCTCATGCTCTGCATGAATACCTCCAGTGTCAGATTTTCCCCATAGGAAAGCAGTGAATAGTGCTTTCCTAGGGGGAGATCCTAATGCGAGCGCAGCCATTTCTGCGCATGTGCATTAGGCCTCCCCTGCCAGCAGACATTGGCGGGGGAGGCGCGTGGGGGTATCTGAGCCAGCATCGGCACTTGACCCAGGTAAGTGACTGAAGGGGATTTAACCCCTTCAGCGCCGCGGGAGGGAACCTTGACAGAGGGGGAAGCTATAGTGCCAGGAAAATTGGTTTGTTTTCCAGGCACTATAGTTTCCCTTTAAAGGGTTACTCCAATAACTATGACCACTTCAGTGGTTATGGTGGTAGGAGTAGTTATGTGCAGTGTTTCAGCTTTAAAGTAGCTAGCACTTTTGCAGGCTAGTTGTACCACAGCACACGTAGCTTAAGTTGAATTCTGTGATATTTTACATTTGCCATCAATGCCAAGCCTCCATAGCAAGCCAGTAACCAACCTCATGCTGATGAGTTGCAATAACAACGTAATTCACTTTACCCACAACCCAAGACAAGCTGAGAGTAAAGGTGGTGGTGTAGGTTTTCTGCTTTCACCCCACTGCTCCTTTAAAACTCTGCCCACCCCCACCCCTCCCCTTTCACATCATTTGAAATACATTCAATTCACCTTTTCAAACCCTTCTCTGCTTTTAACATGGGGCCATAATCCAAAGGCAACAGGCGAGCAACCAGGCTTCTCCAATGCAATGTGGCGAGATTGGTCTCGTCACATCTCTCCCCTTTTCCAAACAGACTAACAGGGTATCTGACCTCCTGCCGGTCAGTGCCCTTGTTAGTCCAGCAACCCACCCACAAAACACAATCAGTAATACAGCCCACCCACAATAACTGGTTACTACACCTGGGTAGAGGAGAACTTTGTCCATGTCCAGGTGCCTCACCATGGCTGTGTAGGTGACTGGTAAGCTGACTTGGTGGGTTGCTGAGTGGGCAGAGACCAGCGGTACTCTGCCCTGGTGCCAGCGCT